GAAGGCAGACGCTTAACGACTGAGCCACCCAAGCGCCCCTGAAAGAAAATATTTCTTTATGCAAGTTACTTTAAAGAACATTAGGTTTACATTTAACTTACATGAAGGAGAATTATAAGGAAATCAGTTCAAAATAATTCAAAATTCCTATTTAATCTAAAGTAAACTCAAATTCTCATACACAATAGATTACGTCTATGATTTTAATGCCATTCTTCTTAGAAAGACTAACTTCAGAAAATAAATATAGTTTATATCGTCTAAAACACAGTGATTGTTTTGGCATTAATTTTATCTTCAAAGTCTGGTATTTGGTTTCCTTTTACCAAAGAAGGACTTCATTCACTAAGTCCCTCACAGTATTTATCCTGAAGAAAAGATGGCAAAGAAAAAATTTCTGCAGGTCTTCAAATTAGAAGGCATATGCTACAAAAAAACTACTCTATGTAGAAAAAATATATATAATGTAGACTCATTTATCTACAGATATTGTTTCACACATCACATATAAAGTCGAGAAATGAACTGATTTTTAAGTCTGCTCTAGTCATTAGCAATTCATATTAGTCTAGTTTGCTTCAGTTTCTTTACCTGTCTGCTGAGAGTCTAGCTTAGGTAAGTGTGGAAAACGACAATTGGTTCAGTCACCAGAATTGGGTTTTAACCTCATATTCCACTGTAATCAGGTCATTCTGTGTTATAGTAAGAAAGGAAGGAGCTACTTTCTACATCACTGCATTTTAGACTCTGTCAAATGAACCACCAAAGCTCAAGGGAAATTAAGATGAAGTACCAGTTAGGTTTTCTGGCTGTTAAGACCACTAATTTTTAGCTACAACCTGTCAAGAAAAAAAAAAAAGTAATCCAAGAGATTTTTCTCTATGCACAAAAATCATTTTTACTAGAATCTAGATTTCATTAAGATGGTTTCAGGCGTTCAGGAATTTAAGCATGCTATTTCACAGTAATGAGGTAAGTAATATCCTAATGATATTTCTATTTTAAGGCTGAAGCCACAACCCAGAAACCTAACCATTAGTCTTACATAATATTTATGTATTTATATTACTACAAAGCCTAAAATTTTTCTAAGTAGGCACTTTATAATCATCAGAATTAAGATCTTCGAGCACACAAACAGGCTAAATTTCCCTACCTACTTAAGAGTATCATTACTGAGGTTCTTCAGTATAAAATAAAGTTTATTAGGTAAAGAGCCTGAAAAGTTTCTCTTCTTCAATGCTACCAAGAGTTAAATATAGTTCTAGTCACACAATGTCCTGAACGGTGCCAAACTGGCTCTCGAGACACACTATCTTTTAAAATTACTGTACACACTGCTGTTACAGAAATGAATCACAGAAACAGTTTCTCTATATACATAAATCAAATTTGCAGTTAGCTTCAAAAACTGGACTGCTAATTTAAGAGCTAGTCCTCTCAGAAAATGTGCCTTACTATTTTATGTAAACAATTTTTTTCTGCACAGAAATTAATCTCGAAGGACAGGACATCCATACTCATATTTTTGTAGTTCTTCCCTATTTGGCATTAGGATGGATCTTATTTTTGCCACTACCTCAAAATAGGGCTTTTATCAGTACTACTTTGGTCTCAATTTCAGCTGACTCCTTCGGTTTTTAAGCAACCTGATTTAGAACAGGAATTTAATTGTTTTTAAAAAAGATTCTGTTTATTTACTTGACAGAGAGAGACAAAGAGAGAGAAGGAACACAAGCAGGGGGAGTGGGAGAGGGAGAAGCAGGCTTCCTGCTGAGCAGGGGAGCCTGATGCGGGGCTCAATCCCAGGACCCTGGGATCATGACCTGAGCCGAAGGCAGAGGCTTAACGACTGAGCCACCCAGGCGCCCCAAACAGGAATTTAATTTTGAGGGGAAAAATCACCACCATCTAATGCAACTTCCTATAGAGTAATATTTTCAGTAGACTCCACAAAATTCATGTTATTAGAAAAAAACAAAACCAAAAATCAATCCGGTCACAAAGAATTAAACAAAAAGAAGATTTGTGTAACTAGGTTTAACATTTTATTTTTCTTTTATATTCTTTCTATAAGCCTACCATTCTTGACCTGGAAAGGGAGAAGAAGCATTAAGGAGAGAAGGCAAAGAGTTTAAAGTTACTTCACAAAATTGCTACTAGTCCTAGTACTTTGTGCTTCATATAACAGGGATCACATGAAATACTGCAACTGTATTTTTCAGGGTTCTACAACCACTATATATAAAACCTCTTTTGAAGTACATTCTCCACAGAGAAGTCATGTCAACACATCTATTTACTTTGCATCTTTTCCCAAAAGAAAATGAGATGACAGATTTAAAACAAGATAAAACAGCTATCTTTATGTGGCTTTTCCTAGAATAGTTTATTGCTTAATGTACTTTACACAGATAGTATTTTAATATTCACAAGCATCCTAGGAGATAGGCAAATGTTACACTTACCTTACAAAAAAGGAATCAGAGGTCAAAGAGACTGGGTGGAGCCAGATACACAGAATACCAGAGTTTACAGTAAGTAAACATTACACTTGTCAGGAAAAAGAATGTTAGAGATAGAGATATAAAATGGAACCAAAGACTAAGGTTAGATGATAGAATATATATGCCACCAAGGAACGCCACAGTAGCTAGAGGACGATTGTAAAACCAAGCTCTGCTCAAAAGGGTAGAGAGAAAGGAATACTACACTTCTGCATTCCACTGGCAACAAGGGGTAGAGGCCAAAGCTAAATGATTGGGGATTTTCACTTATAAATTCATGTTTAGGAGTGCCTGGGTGGTCAGTTGGTTAAGCATCCGACTCTTGGTTATGGCTCAGGTCGTGATCTCGTGATCTTGGGGTGGTGGGGTGGAGCCCTGCATTGGGTTCTGCACTGAGTCCCTCTCCCTCTGCCCCTCCCCGCCGCGAGTGCTCGCTCTCTCTCAAATACTTTAAAAAAATAAAAGTTCAGGTTTAGTGGATAAGTACAATTTTTTTTTAAGTGAGGAACATATAAGCTTAAATATAGACCTAAAAGGTCCTAGGGATTGGTAGTCCAATTTATTTAAGAGCTGAAGTACAAATAATCTCTCTTGACAAATACAGAAAGCTTCCTCAAGATTTAAGTGTGATTGAGGGGCGCCTGCCTGGCTCAGTTGGAGGAACATCTCACTCTTGATCTCAGGCTTGTGAGTTTGAGCCCCACGTTAGGGGTAGAGATTAGTTAAATGAATAAAACTTAAAAAAAAAACACAAAAAACAAACAAACAAAAAGACTTAAGTGTGATTGAGTAGCAGTACAATATTCTTCTCCAGGAATATATCTTAAAATTATCAGAGAGTCAAAGGGAAAAATTGATTCAACACGAACTTTGTCCGTAACTTCAAGTCTGTATCTAATGTCCATAGCAGGGTTAACAGACTCAACTAATTTCAAAACTAGGTATTTCAAAATTTAATGCTGACACTAGACCCTGAGAGAGCAATTTAAAATATAAATTTTAAGACTCATGAAATTATAGGTTATCAAACAAGAAAACTGAATGTCGACTTGAAGCTGTAAGTAATGTTTGTTCCAGAAATAAAAAAAATACTATTAGCTTGGCAGTTCTATTTACAGAAATTCTCCTGTGTTAACAAAGAGTTATTTAATATATAAAGGTCTTAGATAACATACTTGTTAAAAACACTATTCTAACTTAATATTAGCTATTATTCCTCCATCCCTAAATTGCATAATTTTAAGAGTGCCCTATTATTTCCTTCTCCAATGTATTTCTGAGGCATTCTGAGTTCCAAACACAAACTATCAAAAAGGTCTTAAAGATTATGCCTTAAAAATACAAACAAACCCAACATTAAGAATAACGTTGTTACTCTTTCATATAGCACCTTTCCACATAAAAATGTGACATTTAGTCCAGATTATAAAAACTGAATGAGAAAAATTCTAGACTTTAAAGATAAAGAGTGTGAAATAATTCCAGCGGTTAAGAAAACAATGGATACAGAATTCAGAAAGTGGCCCAAGATCACCCGATCAAGAACGACTGTAAGCAGTTAACCACCTGCATATTTTATTACTCTGGTATAGGAAAACAACCACCAAAATCCCCAAACACTTTACGTACAATAGAAATAGAAATAACTTTCTGAAATGGGCTACAAAAACAGTAATCACTGTCGTCAAACTTAAGACACACTGTTTCGTTTTTGACAATCAACATACGCTTCCAAGAGTCAGTGCGAAGACTAGTCACCGTCTATTTAAACCAAAGTCAACCTCTATTTAAAAACCAGTCTGCCATTACACCCACCTCTCTAAAAACAAACGCCTGACACATTCCAAGTTAGTGATTTTTGAAGGGCCCGATTCACTTGAGAAAAACCCTACATCTATTAACAAGTTCATTAGCACTAACATCATCCAGGTTAACTTTCGGTGCATTTTCAAATAAAAGATTGCATTATGTTAATCTGCCGGCATTCTAAAGCGCCGAGATCGCCAGTCCTCGTGTGAAACGTTAGGGTCAGTAATCCCCAGGAGAGCGTCGGTGACCCCAATAAAATCTAGGGCGTGGATTCCTGGTGCCACGTTTCCCCTCCCGTCTACACGGGCCCCTGAGGCCAGTGAAGTGAGCTTCCAGACGGGGCCGCAGGGTGGGTCCCCAGGGGAGGCAGAGGAGCCCGGGAAGGCCAGCTCAAGCCCGGTCCTGGAATGGCCCGTCCCGCCGCCCAGGTGGGCGTCCCGGGAAGGAGACACAGCCCCGCGGGGCCCCGGACCGGCTACGCCGAGCACAGGGCGAACAGGCCGGGGAGGGGAGGGGAGCGGAGGGACCGCCGCGGACGCCCCCAGCGGGCCCAGCGCTCCCGCATTTCTCCTCTTTTCTCTTACCTTTTCGCACAGCGTCCGCACTTGGTTCTCGTTAAGCTGTTTACACTCGTTCAGCTGCTCGACCCACTGGTCCAGCTCCTTGGTGAACGCCTTGTCGTCCATGGCGGCCCGATCCCCTTGCCCGCCGCCTCCCTCCCCCCTCCCCGCCCCTTCCCACCCCCGCCCCGGGCGCCGCTCCCCTCTCCCGCCGCCGCCGCGGCCGCCAGCTCCCAGCGGGAGAGGAGGGAGCGGGGGAGCGCGGCTGCGGGCCCCTCGCCCCGCCCAAGGCCAGCGGGCGGCTCCCGGCGCGCGGCCTCCAGAAGACCCTCGCCCGCCCGGCTGCGCGCCCTGGGAGTGGGTGAAGGGCGCGGAGAGGTTGGCGGCGGTGCGGCGCGGGTCTTCGGCGCAGCACCTGCCGGACGCTAACCACCCACCGCCGCCACCTCCCGCGCGCCGGCCTCTCCCGGCTCTCTCGCCCCTTCTCTCGCTCTTTCTCTCCCCTCCCTCTGGGTTTCCGTCATCGCCTGAGCATTTCCGCCGGGAACAAGCGAGCAGGCGGCGCCGCCGGGGCTGGGACGCGAGGAAGGATGCAGCGTCCCCGTGTGGCTCGGCGGATAAACGGCCCCGGGGGAGGGCGCCGGGGGTGGCTCCGTTTTTCCCCTCCTCCCTTCTCTATCCTCCTTCCCAACTTGGGGTCGGGACTAATATCTCCTGGTCCTTCCTTCACACCTTTTCTCTGGGAACTTAGACCCACCTTGGTCTCCTGCAGTGCTATTTCAGCGCTCTGGAGAGGAATTGGCAACGTTGTCTCCCCAGAGTCTAGCACTCCTCCGTAGCAAGCCTTCAATAATACTGTTTATTTGGTGTATGAATTCTTTCTAGGCTTATCTCTGCCACTAACTAGCTGTGGACCCTAACATCTTGAAGCCTCCATTTTTCTTTCTTTCGTTCGTTCTTTCTTTCTTTCGTTCTTTCTTTTTTAAGATTTTATTTATTTGAGAAAGAGCAAGCGCTAGTGGGGGGAGGGGCAGAGGGAGAAGGACAAACAGACCCCGCGCCAGAGGGGAGCCTGAAGCCGGCCGGATCCCAGGACTCCGAGATCATGACCCCAGCCGAAGTCCCTTAGCCGACTGAACCCTCCCAGGCGCCCCTCTTTCATGATTTTTCTGTATAACAATCTGTGTCCCTTCCAGCTCCAGTATTCTTTGCTGCATTTTCTGCGGTGTTTACTGAGTTCCAATGATTTGTACACTCAACAAATATTTATTGAGCAACTGCTAACTGCCACGTCCCTTGTAGAGCAGATGCTAAGCACATACTACTGCCGCTCAACGCAGGTGAGAGGCAACATCCTCTGTCAGAAGGCAAGTCGTCTGATCTTGGCTTTGCCAGCTTCATAGCTGTGTCCTTGGGCAATCACCAAATCTCCCCCAACCTCAGATTCCTCATCTATTAAAAGGGCTTAGTAAGGCCTACCTTTTCAGGTTATGAAGAAACATTTTACAAGTGCCTATCCAATAGGACAGTATGAGAACAACATAGTAAATGCCTTATGCCTCTGGGCAACAGTTACAGAAAGCTTTAGGAAGGTGGCATTTGAACTGAATTTTGAACCTTCTTCCCAGGCAAAACCTTGAAACTGCCTGAAGAGGAAAAAAAGTTGCAAGGATTTTTTTTTTTTTTGTAAAGAACACATGTGTTAAATATTATGGTCTGAAAAGCTACTTCTATCAATAGAAATAGGTCATGTGGCTAGAAATGAGGCTGGAAGACATCCTGATATTCAAGTGACTTGTAAATAGTACCAAACCAAGTGAAGGACAAACCATGAAAAGGTGATGAAGAGAAGGAGCACCTATATCATTTCAATAGATATTGCGGTCATGGAGGATGTTAGTTTATAAAGGTTTAAAGGAGGCTGAATTTCAGCCAAACCTGGAAAGCTCAGAATGCAAATGAGGATGGTATTTTCAACGTTCCTAGAGAAAATGGATTGAGAACAGTAAAAAATGCCTGGAGAAATGGGAACTGTGGATAGTGTTTGGGGAGGGAGGTCCTTGAGGTAGAAGCAAATGTGTTTGGAATTCATGTGACAGAATGTTCTTAGAGTTGGAGGTAGGGAAACAAGTTTGTGAAAATAGTGCATCTGAAAAGTTTAGTCGAGTTATACTGTCAAAAACGAATGCTTTTTTGAGTCCTTCCTAGATGCTACATGTTCTACTTGTATCTTCCTGTTTAATCCTTCAGTAATCCTATGACACAGGTACTGCTATTATCCTCTATTTTATAGATGAAGAAACAGACGTAGAGGGGTTTTATTTATTTATTTTTAAAAAGATTTTATTTTATTTATTTGACAGAGAGACAAGGAGAGAGGGAACACAAGCAGGGGGAGTGGGAGAGGGAGAAGCAGGCTTCCCGCCAAGCAGGGAGCCCGATACAGGGCTTGATCCCAGCACCCTGGGATCATGACCTGAGCCGACGGCAGACGCTTAACAACCGAGCCACCCAGGCGCCCTGTAGAGGGGTTTTAAAACACACCCAAGTCACACAGATAGTAACTGTGGAGTAGGAATGCACACCCAAGTCTGTCCCATGCTTTATGTTCTATGACCTCTGCGGTCTGATGGAAGTCGGGAAAGCTGAGGTTGGTAGAGCAGTCAAGGGACTTGGTGATTACATTATCAGTTTTTGGTATTTTGGTTGTAAAGTCATCTTACTTAAAAATAAAACCTATAATTCTTAAACATCTTTCTTTTTTCTTTGCTTCTGTCATGCATGTATATATGTGCATAACCATCTGAGCCACCCATTTTGAAGCCACCAGAAAAAAGCAAGAGGTTAAAGACCACATGTTAGGGAGAGCTAAGAAGAAAGAGAAAAAGAACTTGGGTTCCTTATGGCGATATGAAACCAGAATAGCAGTCTGGACCGCTTACCTCCAAACTTATCATCAGGGGAAAAAACCTCTCATATCTGTTTAAGCTTCATCTGGGGGTTTTGTTACTTCTAAACACAAATCTGTCTGATACATCCAGATACTATTCATTGTATGCTTTGACTAAATGATAGGTGGAAAATCGTATGATATTTTGACAATTAGTGAGGTTGAGCAATTTTTCATATTTTTTTGACATTTAGATCATGTATGTGAATTGAGTGCTCATTATTTATTGTTTATCACTTCCTTTTTTGGGGGTCACTTCCTTAGTACTGATTTATAGGCTGCCTGATATACACGTTTCAAATATTTTACACATTGTGTTACTTGGGTACAAAAGCATTCATTTTATTTTTAAGAAAAAAGGATTTTATTTTTAAGATTTTATTTTTAAAAGATTATTTATTTGAGAGAGAGAGCACAGCAGGGAGGGGGAAGGGAAAGGGAGAGAGAGTCTTTTTTTTTTTTTAAGATTTTATTTATTTGACAGAGAGAGACACAGCGAGAGAGGGAACACAAGCAGGGGGAGTGGGAGAGGGAGAAGCAGCCTCCCCACCGAGCAGGGAGCCCAAATGCAGGACTCGATCCCAGGACTCTGGGAATCATGACCTGAGCCGAAGGCAGATGCTTAACGACTGAGCCACCCAGGCGCCCCGGGAGAGAGAGTCTTAAGCAGACTAAGCTGATCATGGAACCCCACACGGGGCTTGATCCTACAACCCTGAGATCATGACCTGAGTGGAAACCAAGAGTCAGATACTAAACCGACTGCAGCACCCACGTGCCCCTTTTATTTATTTATTTTAATTAAAAAAAATTTAAAGTAATCTCTACACCTGACATGGGCCTTGAACTGACAACCCCAAGGCCCAGAGTCACATGCTCCACTGACTGAGCCAGCCAGGCGCCCTCATTATAACCATTTTTAGGCATACAATCCCATGGCACTAAGTACACTCACAACGTTAAGCAACTCTCACCGCTATCATCTCCAGAGCTTTTTCATCACCCCAAACAGAAACTCTGTACCAATTAAACAATAATCTCATTACCCCTAATATACATATACTTTTTAACAAAAAAAATTCAGTTATTTATCTTAGAGAGTGTGTGTGCGCAAGTGGGGGAGGGGCAGAGGGAGAGAGAGAGAGAGAGAGAGAGAGAGAGAGAGAGGAAGCTGACTTCCCCCAGTCTCACAACCCTGAGATCAGGACCTGAGCCGAAACCAAGAGTCTGCGGCTTAACAGACTAAGACACCCAGGCGCCCCTACATATACTTTTATGTATTATTTATCATAAGCTTCAGGAGAGCCCTTTCTCTGACAGCCTAGGAACCTTTGGTGCTTATTCTAATACTCTTGAGTTATCTGGATTATTGCTTTAACTCTAATTTCCATTGATTCTAAGATACTGTGTGTGTGTGTTTTTAAAGATTTATTTATTTGAGAGGGAGAGAGAGCACAAGCAGGGGGAGTTGGCAGAAGGAGAGGGAGAAATAGGCTCCCCGCTGAGCAAGGAGCCTGATGCAGGGCTAGATCCCAGGACCCTGGGATCATGACCTGAGCTGAAGGCAGATGCCTAACCACTGACCTGTCCAGGTGCCCCTTGTTGTTGTGGTGGTTGTTTTACTTCATAGTGTAACATCTCTGAAATTGAGTCCCATCTTAATATCAGTGACATCTTAGATCAGTCAAATCCCTTTTAGAATGAGGGTTTATAGCCAAAGTGCTGTGTTCAAGTTATTTTGGTTTGGTCTCTCCCCACTCTTCATTTCAGTGTGGTTATTGTATTCATTTAACAAGTAATTTTAGGGGCGCCTGGGTGGCTCAGTCATTAAGCAACTGCCTTCGGCTCAGGTCATGATCCCAGGGTCCTGGGATCGAGCCCCGCATCAGGCTCCCTGCTGGGCTGGGAGCCTGCATCTCCCTCTCCCACTCCCCCTGCTTGTGTTCCCTCTCTTGCTGTGTCTCTGTCAAATAAATAAAATCTTTAAAAAAAAATCTTCAAAAAAAGAATTTAAATTCCCCAAAATATAAAATGTAAATATATTATTTGTAATTGCAAAACCTTGGCAATTACCTCAATGCCCAAACATTTAGGCATAGTTGAACAAATTATGTTACATACACCAGTAGAGGACTACGCCATTGTAAACAGAACGAGGACAATCTATATGAACCAACAAGGAGTGTTTTCTATGAAATATTACATTGAAAAAAGCAGGGTACAAGAGAGTATATTACCTTTCGCATAAGAAAGAAGGGGAAATATACATGAATATTTTTGCATAAAAGAACACTGGAAAAAGCAGAAAACAATGAAGCTGGTTACCACACAGAGAACTGGGTGAAAGGGATAAGGGAAAGAAGGACATTTTTCTGAATTCACCTTTTTGGATAAATGTTACTTTTGAAAGTTTATATTATGTTCTACATATGAAAAAGAAAATTAAATCAATAAGGATAGAAGTAACTTAAACTATATGCAAGCAGAAATAAAATTACTTTTTTTAAAAAGATTTTATTTATTTATTTGACAGAGAGAGACACAGCGAGAGAGGGAACACAAGCAGGGGGAGTGGGAGAGGGAGAAGCAGGCTTCCCGCTGAGCAGGGAGCCCGATGCGGGGCTCACCTGAGCCGAAGGCAGCCGCTTAACGACTGAGCCACCCACGCGCCCCTTGGGGGATTTAAATTCTTGAAAGTAGGGCTACTGGGTCAGAGAGTAAAGTATGTAGTTTCATTAGATATTGACTTCTGCTCTGCAACCTAACACTCCCATAGTGTATGAGAGTGCCTGTTTCCCCAG